GGTGCCAGTTTCCTCCGCTTATCTCTTCCTCGCTCCTCTGGAGATGAGAGCACATTCTTTATTCCCCTCCCACCATTCCAGTCCATCACAGGTGAAGGGTGCTAGCAGGTGATGTCATTTTCTTTTTTGGTGGAATGAAGATGAGAGGAATTTGTGTTGCTGCAAGACCTGCAGTGCTTTGGGTAGGGCACTGATTGAATGAGTCTTTGTCCCTCTCACTGGTCACCTAAAGGAGTGTGTTGATTGGTTCCTTGTGTTCTCATATAATCTCAGTGTTCTGAGGTCTGCAGGAAATCAATCGGATTTCCTTTGAATGGTTTAGGAGAGACTGGAAAATCCAAACAATGGCATGTGGAAATGATCTTAGTGTTAAACCACATGTTATGCATGCAGAAGCTCCCATGTTCTATCAACAGAGACTTAATAAAAACTTAACAAGCAAGGGACAGTTCCTTGAGACCTTGGAGAGCTGCTGCCAACACACTGGTCTAGTTGGACAAATAGTCTGACCTAAGGCATCTTCCTAATTACAGTATTTCCATGTAATTTATACTGATGAGAGGATTTTAAGCATTTTAAACAGCGTTTCCCATCTTGATGCATTTATACTAGAGTAAATATCATCCCATAACCAGCATAACCATTGAAAGGATTTCCAGGACAAGCTACACATGATCTATAGTAGGAATTCTCAATGTGTTTCTTGTTTTCACTTCTTTCTCTAGAGTTCTCCACCTACAATGAAAGAAAGGAGTCTCAGCAAACAGGATCCAAACAACAGAATGATGCTCTCCAGCCTCTCCAGACTGTATTTTGGAGCTGTTCATAAAGCCATTGGTGTTTTCCACAAAACCCTTAGTGATAATCAGACTCCTGAAATCTTCATTGCCAAGAGCAAACTGATCATTATGGTGGGCCAAAAGTTGGTGGACACCTTGTGTCAGGAAGCACTTGAAAAGGCCAACCGAAACGATATCTTGTGTGGTAGCAGCAAATTTTGTGGCTTGCTGAAAAGCCTGGCAATTGCAACCAAAAATGCTGCAATGCAATATCCAAATCCTGAGGCAGTAAAGGAACTTCAGGATCAAGTTGATGAATTATCTCAATTCACACACCAGTTTCGCGATACGATGGAATGAATGCATACTGGAACAGTTCAAAAGGCAACTTTAGATATAATACTTGGACAGGATAAGTGTACATAGGTGTGGGAGTGGAGATGTACGGTAACTCCCCTCTCTGTGTCCTTTTATACAACTCCAGCCAATGTTGAGTGAGAGGCCTGCAAGAGTGTCTTCTCTCAATGCTTAAACATGATTAAAACCCTTTCTATTGTCAAGAATCCTGATACAACGGTATTCTGAGCAGAAGCTTCTATTTGCATCAATTAACTTGACATTCATCCTCAACATCCATACGGACATCCATCTTGCATAGGTAGCTTGAGATCCAGGTTCAGTGTATGCAGCTTCATTCTTCTTCTCTTTGTGTGCTCTGTGGAGGTATAATGTTTCAACAGGACTCTAGTGTGTTCATAAGAACTGTGTTGAATTTTTAGATGTGATAGGCTTTTTATTACATTACAAAGCATGTGTGTCTGTCTGCCTGAAGATAACAGTACTGTAGCATCCTACCTCATAGGGATGTTGTGAGAATAAATAAAAACATTTAGTAATAACTTGAAAGTCAGTTAATATAAAAAGACTAAGACTGTTCACAGGGCTTGTGAGTGCTCAGTTGCAACAGTGGGCAGGCTATTAAGGTTATTCTTGCAACCATTCATTTGGTTGGACAAACGCTGGTAGACTCTCTAGATGGTGCAAATGCTATTGTGATGAACCATGGTTACAGGTGTTGTGTGGTATGAGTTATTCTATGCAGCAAAATGCGTGGTAAAGAATAGAAATTATTGGACGGTCTTGTGATTACTAACTGGTCTCAGCTCTGCTATTCATCTTCATTTCTCCCCTCTTCTTTCTCACTTCCTTCTTGAGCCAATTGCTTCTTTTAAAGAATTACACTATCTTCATATAAACAAACATGTATTTTACTTACAGTTCAAACAATAGCAGTGTTCACAAGCAAATAGGTGAAAATACATTATTCTGTGTGATCATACCATGAGAGATAAAAATGAAAAGTAACAGAGACAACAAACAAAAGGGTGAGGTTAAGGGAATCTTCCAGAACAGAGTTCCTCAGCCTCAGCAATTTTAAGATGGGTGGACTTCAACCCCCAGAATTCCCCAGCCAGCCTCACAACCTCTGAGGACTGCCTAACATATATATTAAGAAGGTACTAGCTACAGTTAATCCGTTCTTGTGCATGTAGAGTTGCTTAGCCCAACATCAGAATCATGTACTTGTGCCTCTTCTCATTATGTATGGGAATGGTATCCCACATTTCAGGAATGAGATAGTATATTCCCAGATTTGATAGTGGTCAGATATACCTTTTTGAAAAAAATGAGTGGAGATTTACAGGTGAAGCATACAGAGGACAAGTATACATTTTATTACCTGATCTCAAAACCAAAACAATTGGTTGGATGTTTGGTAGGCAGAGAGGTGTGCAAAATGTTCCATCACAGAATATGTTTCTTAAATGGTTTGGCTTCAAAGAGGGCTCATTCCACTTTCCACTCATACCAGATCTGACCACTTTTGGGCCAATTGGAAAGGTGTATTTCAAGATCAGTATGGCTTACTTGTTCTATGATAGGTAAAAACCACTAAATGTGTGCAAAATATCCTATCATCCCATAAATGCACCATGTTTCATCTGGGGCAAGAGCATGTCTTGGAGGCTTGGATGGGTACACTGCTATCTGTGAGCTAGACAAAATCAGCTCCACATAACAAGGGTCCATAGTACATCTTCCCAGATGTTAACTGTTTATTTCAATCCTTGTAACTTAAACAAAAGTTATAATCACCTTACCAATAAACCAGGTCTTCTTGTGCACTATATTACGATGAATGCACTGTGCTATTCATACTGCAAATAGTCATAGCTCAGTCTACTGCAACCAGCATGAGAATGTAGATATCTTTGAATTATGGATTTGAAGAGAGTTATTAAAAGCCCCACGAACTGCAAGAACAAACAATAAATCAGTCCTTGAAAAAGGCTGAGTGCTTTCTTAAGGAGATGAACAGTAAGCAGCAGCTCATAAAATGATGGACAACCCCCACCCCCACCCTTGGCAAGCTTATGGGAAATACAAGAACAGGAATACATCACAGAAGATAGAACAACTGGATGAAGAAAATCACCGGGACATCCTTGGAGGAGCTATGAGTTATCATCAGGGACAAGTGGAGATGATGGGCATTTGGGTATACAGTCACCAGAGGCTGGACTGACTGGCTGGAATATACCTAAATTTGATGCAGTGCTTGATATATCTTGGAGCCATTGGCTTGGTCTTCAATCTTGTATCATCTCCTATAATTAACTCCCCTTTAGCTCCTGCTACAGTCCAGCAAAGTGCCAACTGAATTTATTGCCACTAGACCTTTATTGTCTTCTGCAGGATGCTTCTGTGACTATCCCTGGCAATTATAGAAACCCATCAACTAATCCAAGAGACACAACTTTCTTCAAAAATTTGCTGTGATTCCAGGATATGGATGACAGACTATAGGAATGATAATTGGAATATAATTTTTTTGTTTCAGTGGGTCCCTTAAACATCTACAGCTTTCAAAATTTCAGCATATTCACACAACAGCAATATTGTTCTTTTTAGGACCAAAGGTAGAAAGGCAGTTTTACCAAACATTCAGGAATATCACACCTGTTTTATCTGGTTACTGAATTAACCCATTTTCTAGCTTTACATAATACACTGAACCACAAACTAACAAAATGGCCTGTGTTTGAACACACTTACAAGGAATGTAACCAAGGTTAACACTAATTGAGCTTAGTATGTTATATGACTGCATCCACTAGGTCATTACCTGCCCTGATTAAACACATTATGTAAATACAGCCACAAGTATTGGAGATGTATCTTTTATTGTGCAACAACAGTCTTTTCTAATTCACATTTTTCAAGGAAGAGGGAGAGGTATTGTAAATTTGTAACCCATTTGTCACAGCTCCTTCTACCTTCAAGCATAGAAAACTTACTAAAGATTTTCAGTTCTCTCTATTAATTAAAACATCCCAACTTTTTTTTACAAGCTTTGCCAGAAGGTACCACATGCCGGTGTTTAAAGGAATCCTATCATTAAAGTGAATGTAAGTGTTCTTTTCAAGCTCATTAGACTGAGTGGTATTTAATGCTGAGAATCAAATACTGAATCCCAATGGAAGACAATATATGTAGCTCAGGACTGAACTATGGAGTTCTTGGTGCTCTCTAAGCTTGACTGTTTCCTTTCATAATGAAAACTCCTTAATCTCACAACACACGGACAGATTCAACCATAGTTTCAACTGGGAAACTCTGAGAATCTTAGACCAAGCCGAATCCAAAAGCACTAGGGAATTCCGGGAAGCTTGGCATTCAGACAAGTCATCAATAGACATACAAAAATAAACCACATTTACACACCATTCAAAAGAGATTATAAAAAAAAACCTAGGAAGGAAACAAAAAGACTAGAACACATCCCCACATTCAGATCAGTATTCAACACCAGACAAACAATCAAGTGGAAAACAATACTCAAATCAAGGAACTACCAAGGAGAAAACCACATCCCCACCAACACTAGCAGGGTAAGCTACTGTATATAAACAGGCAGCAAACCCCACACTCATTTGCACTGATGATGTTACCTAGCTGGGTAATGAAATGTCTGCAAGGAAGCAACCAAGCTCAGCACCAAGAATTCCAAACACGGAGTGCTAGAAATCAAATATTTTGTTATTTGTAAAGTTCAGCTTTACAGACCATACACAGAAATTTAAATTCAATCGCGCTTGACTGCCAACCAGAATCATGTACAACCGCAACTTATCGCCAGATCCTCCACATGATTCCTCCATTGCGAGTGCCACAGGGGTTGCCTAGCAAATCTGCCCTATGGCTAGGATCGGAATCTTACTTCTACATCACAACCCCCAAACTGACCCATTCACACAACCCAGGTTAGTGAATTCGCACGAAATGCTGAATCCTAATCTGAACACACCGACTGAGCGTGCTCAATGCACTAGGGCAGTGCTTCCCAACCGTGGCGACTTGAAGATGTGTGGACTTCAACTCCCAGAATTCCCCAGCCAGGCTTGCAGTGGAAGTACACGCATCTTCAAGTTGCCAAGATTGAGAAACACTGCCCTGGGGTAACATGCGTGATTGCCTAATTTGTGTCTCAGTGTGTGGCGCGAATACACGTCCTAAGTAGAGACCTCCGTCTTGGGAAGCCGCTTCGTTCCAGGTTACCTCAGTAACACGACTGCCAACGTCATCACGCCTGGCCTTCTGTTTTGTGGTCCTGCGCCGGAAGGGCTCCTCTCATCTGGCCGGAAGTTTCTTTGTGCTAGGCAACCCGGAAGTTCCAGAAAGCGAGTCGGGGGCGAAATGGGTTGCGATGGAGGAACCATCCCGAAGAGGCACGAGCTGGTGAAGGGCCCTCGTAAGGTCGAGAAGGTGAGGCGGGGGTCAGAAAGGAGGGCCCCGGCTGGTCGTGTATTCCGTTCTGGAATAGAGGAAGGGGGTAACCTAGGTAGATCCGCTACCTGGAGTGTTTGTCCTTCCTGCAAGTATAACGCGCAGGATCACCCTCGAGTTCTGTAACGTTAAGCTGCTTACGGGAAAAGTAGTTCCAAGAGTGAAGAGGGAGCTAGAAATCGGCTTAACTAAAACCCCAAGCTTTTTTTTGAGGGGGGGGGATCTGCTGTGTTTGTTTTTACTTGATTGATTACCCGGGAGTAGCAAACGCAAGACAGAAATCCATTTCCAAAGTTGCTCGCTTTCTTCCACATAGTTTCAAGCATTGAGCTGGGGGCTGGACCCACAAGGTCCTTTCCAGCTGGGACATTCTATGATTCTGATCCAACAGTTGACCAACTCTAATTTTCCCATATATAGGACATGTAATATTAGTAGATTAGTAAATTCAAACAGGGCAGAAAAATAATATGCAAAGTAAGTACAAAGGTTTTGAATTTAAGTATAATTGCTTTTTCTAAAATTGTATATAATTTGTTATATTTCTCAGGTTGACAAAAATGCAGAGTTAGTGGCCCAATGGTACTATTGCACTCTGAGTCAAGAAAAATTAAGCAGGCCCATAGTAGCTTGTGAACTTGGCAGGTAAGATTACACTTTAAATTCTTTTTCAGGCAAAGTATCACATGTTTGAATAAATTTTAATTAGAAAGTTAACCTGTTTTTCTGGTTATATATTTTCTGCTATAGGCTTTACAACAAAGATGCAGTTATTGAATTTTTGTTGGATAAATCTTCTGATAAAGTCCTTGTGGAGGCTGCATCCCATATCAAGAGTATTAAGGTACATTAACATGTTTATAATATGTTCTAAGGATTAGCATATGCAAGTTAAGCAGAGATCCACAAAAGTTCTCTTTATTTTCTTGACATAAACTTCATTGATATTAATAAAACTCTAAAGCACCTAATTTCTGTAGTATGTTTTTTTAAAACAGCATACATCAGATGCATTCTCTTCTACGTAACAAATGGCAATATCTTTTTTGCTTCTGTGATATATTTTATATA